CCCCATCTCCCAGGGCCCTGCCAGCACAGCCCCGGGTTACTGCAGCAGCCCGGCCGTGTTCCGGGCTGAGCCTTCCCTCCAAGAAGGCATCCTGCTCGGGTTAACCTTTCTCAAGCCCGATTCCCTCAGTCTTCCCTCTGCTCAAAAAATATCTCACAGACCTCTATTATCTAAAGGAAAGAGTCCTCCATCCTTAGCCTGACATTCTTCTTGGTTGCTTCTAAGATGCTGACCCGTGCGTTTCCCTTTGCTTCCTTCTCTGAGCACAACCCTCCAGCATGTCTACCCAAATCCCATTAAAGTGAAGAAGCCGGTAAGGTCCAGCTCAACACACACCTACTCCCTGAAGCCGGTCTTTATTTCTAGAAAGAAGAGACTTCATTAGGCTCTATCCAGCCTTGTTCCTTTCCTTCCTTACACTCTCAAATATCTCAAAGTTTGGACCCATCACGTCACCAGCCTTTCACTAACCTGCCAAATGGTACTGGCTTCACAAAAACCAATCTCTTCAATCCCATCCCAGCTCCCTTCTTGTTGAGATCCTTTTCTTTGTTCTTACTCTCCCTGGCCTTCTCTCCTGCTTTCAATTACCGACCTTGAGCCCTGCCTTCTGCTTTCCATATGGGAAAGGCTATTCCGACAAGACTATGAAGAGAGATGAGCATGTTTATAGGCTACTGGGAAAAAGCCAGTAGAGGATGTCTGAAAGTCAAGGAAGGAGGAGAGGGAACTAACAGCACAGAGAATGACTGAAGAGGAGGAATATCTAGACCTCTCTCACAGGTGGGGAGGAGCACAGATCTAACCGGAGGGAGAAGAGGAAGGCTTGTGCAAGATCATTTGCCACCGTCTTACCGGTTGGTATCTCTGGCCACATCCTCATAGACGCTCTGCACTCCAATCTCCAGCCTTGTGCAGCCATAGGTCAACATGTCACTTAAATGCCGCTTCATGCAGTAGTCTGGTCTGGTCTCAATAGTAATTCCGATACATTTTGTGAGGCTCCTCTCAGAGTACCTGCAGAGCAAATCTAAACGTAAACAACCTGCCGCAGTGCTAGGACATCTGCTCTCATTTAGAGTACGTCTTCCCAGCTCTAACCCCGTGGTTAAGAGTATGGGCTATGCAGCCAGACTGCGTGAGTTCAAATCCTGGCTCTGCTGCCTCCTACCTATGCAAGCAGGAATGTCATTAACCTCTCTGTGCTTCGGTTTCATTATCTGCAAAATGAGGATAATAGTACCTACCTGTCGTGAGACTGACATGACAGAACGAGCGCACAGTAATGTACCACCATCATTATCATTATTATTCTCTGCCGTGTGCTGAGACCATAATTTTGAAAGCAGTGATTTCAACTGAAAACCCTATTTTTAAATTCCTAGCAACAATAGCTCGTGTAAGTGAAAACCATCTGCATTATTTATTTCCCACTCCATATTTTAGAGTCATATTAAATAAAAGAAAACAAAAGAAGGGGGAGAGGCATGTATAATGATCACAGAAATAATTTAGATGAAATGTCTTCTATATACACAAGTCTTTTCGCCAAGTCTATTAATCTGAGCGGTGACTTACAAAATTAGGCATCGTTTTTCTCCTTCACTAAAACCAGGTCTCAGAGCAGTGAGTACCACGTTAGATTCAAGCTGTTTTGAATTAATAGCCTTAATGCTGGGCCCAAATCTAGGAAAGTGAAAATGACTTGCTAAGGGGGGTGCTGATGTGACGGAACAGGAACCAGTATTTAGAGCGGCCCCTGTGGCCAAGCACTAGGCTGCACACCCTACACGTGGTGAACGCTCCCATCAGCGCCATGAAGTGTGTCTCACTATCCCCATTTTACAGATAAAGAAGCTGAAGTTCCTGCAGCGATTAAATACTCTGTCCACGGGTACAGAGCTCATCAAATCAAAGTCAGGATTTGAAGGTGGGTCTGCCTGACTTCGGAATCCTTGCTCTGTGTTTCCCTTTGTCCCATGATTGCTTGGACGGTTCGGCGGGGGACATCAGCTCTGTCTATTCAACTCTCTAAGGTCCCAGAACGAAATCACTCTTCTCAGTGTGCCCTTCCCCAGCTTTCTCAATTCTTCGGGGTGGGGGAAGGGAGCCTTTTTTTTTTTTTGCCACTCAATTTCCTTCTTGCCAAAGAAGTTCATTGTTTCTTGACAAATAAAAATAATAAAATTTCCATAGTTTTGTAACTACTGCTTTCCTTTAAGTTCATTCATTCATAATTATCAATAAAAATTGACATCTTTAATTTTAGTGTTAGTAATAATTATTAAGAAGGTTCAGAATCACTGAACTGGAAGACTGGGGCTGAAGCCTTCTGCTCTAGACATTCAAGCGCGTTCACATAATACTGCAGTCCAAGGTGCCGTGTAGGACTGCCAGGGACAGCAAGAGCTAAAGGCAAACATTTCCACAGCTACTAAACCAGGAACCAAGACAAAAAAGGGGTCAGATCTTAGCAAATCTTGCCTCTGACAGGATACTAAACCACTTGGCTTCTCTGATAACAACTGGATCGCAAAGTCCCAGGCCTCTCAGATAGGCAGGTACCAAGGCACGCAAGAGAAGTGCAAATGCCACATGACACTGTAACTCGCCTTCCTGGAAGGTCAACTATTGTGCTTGGAGAAAACCAGTATTTTTAAAAATTAAAACACTATAGAGAAAGCAAACTGCACAAAGGTTGATTTAAAACAAACAAAGAGCAGAAGACTAAATATGTGTATTTAACAAGGTAAATGAGAACCTCTTACAATCAGCCATTCCAAAATCGTACCACAGACCTCTCTGTCAATTGGTATTTTTATAAAGCTCACAGTATTTCTTAAAAGGATGCCATTAAGTCAGCAAGCTTGTCAGCACAACAGGACCTTGCATTCCTGGGAGAGAACTAGGGGACAGACAACTGCACCGACGGGAATCTGTCTGGAGGAAGGAAATTCCCTAGCTAATGTCTCTACTGCACACATCACCAACGCCTGACCAAGGCTGATCAGGAAAGCTGCTGCGAGGATGCCAAGGTCTCTTTACAAGTGGTTAGAATACAGTATAAGACACAGAGGCAAACCTGGTTCTCAATAATTTAACTCCATTTCAAAAATATCTTTCCTCCGGGGGAAATGTCATTACCTTTTGTGGGAGCAGAAGTAGAGGAATAAAAAAATAACCTAAGTTTTTAAAAGCCAGTATTTGGTATTTACAAAAGGTTTTTTTTTACCACCATCTTCCTTTCATAATTGTATTTTCATCTGAAAAGCAATTAAACACAAATTCTTATCATGAACAAAAACAATGGAGTGTTTTCTAAAAAACAGGGTATAAGTTCATCTTATACTTACACAAGAATAAGATCATTTTTTTAAAAAGGATTTTTTGGTTAATGCTATGTTTAGTCCTACGCATCACCGAACCTTGCCCCTTCATTTAACAGAGATGTAGAGCTATCAGTACGACTGTTTCTTCAATATGCAAATACGTGCATAAAGGCTTTCAACTAATCTAAGCAAAATATCCGAGCTGGCATTTTACAGCCTGCTCTACCCTTCCATGTCATTCAGAGAGCCATCCAACAGTGTGGCTCTCCTTCCAAACCTAGTCCAATTACCATACCTGCGGTGGGCGGGAGGGGGGCAGACTTGTTAAGTTGTTGGGCATTTAGGAAACGTACCAAACATTTTCCAACCCTGATCATAAGCTTCTAAGAGACAAAGTAAGGACCTGTAACCCAGGTCTTCTGATTCTAATTCCATTTCTCTTTTTGCGGCATATTAGGGTCACCTTAATTAAGCCTATACACCACTAGTGTGGGGCTATGTTGAATCCTACAGTCTTTCGTATGCCACAGAGCCACACCAACCATAAAAGATGCTAATGTTCTCTGTGAAGCATAACATATGCTAACAACATTTTTTTTTAAAACCAAGGGGGTAGGAGGGTGGGAAATGGGACAATAACTTGGGAATATAAACGCATATAAAACCTAAATGCTACTCAGCCTTCAAAACATAGCTCAATACATTTCTCCTCCTGTGACATCCTTGCAGCACCTCTCATAACTCTGTGCTCCCATTCCCAAAGTTCCCTGCCCATACTATGAATACAGATGGCCTCGTTATTTGTGGGTCTGTCTGTCTGTCCACCTAGACAGGAAACTCCTGGAAGGCAGTAGGCTCGTATACGTTTAGAGGTTAAGAGCTTTAGCACTAAAAACTCTCCTTCAATATAAAAAAAAATAAATAAATACGAAGAATGAATAAATGGATTAGGAGTAGCTGAGGACACAAAGGTCTCCCTTCACTCTCACAGCAGCCTCTAGATAATTCTACTGGTTCTTTCCTCTTGCAAACAGTTAAACCTAGAAGGTGCCTAACCCTAGGCTAGGAATTCTACAGAAAGTAAAATGACAATAGTTCTTGTCCCAGAGTTGCTCAACAATCTAGCTGCAGGAATAACACATGCAGATTAAACCAATAACCACTTAAGAACAAAGAGCCAGAAGAGGTAGAAATTTAAATGGATATAAACTATTTCTTGGAAAGCTTGTTTCCAGTTCTGGAAGGAAGAAGGTGACCCATAAAAGTAACATCTTTATTATCACTTACTGTCTCCTCACACTAAGGCCCCAACCAGGGGGACACTGACGGAACACAGCACGCCGATGCTAAAGTCCCTTTATCATCTTCTGTAAACTGTTTTTGATTCACTACAAGAAGGCTGTGAGAATACTTCTGATTGCTGTTAATCTGCTGCAGTCCTCTCTAAACCTGTCATTAATTAAGTGGATGTATCTTACTTTATTTTTTTTATTCCCCTGTGCTATACAGTATAATCTTGTTCACCTATTCTACATATGCCTGTCAGTATCTACAAATTTTGAACTCCCAGTCTGTCCCATCCCACCCCTCTCCCACCTGGCAACCACAAGTTTGTATTCTATGTCTATGAGTCTGTTTCTGTTTTGTATTTATGTTCGTCTTTTTCTTTCTTTCTTTCTTTCTTTTTTTTTTAAGATTCCACATATGAGCATTCTCATA